CCCCCCGCCCCAGCCTCTTCCAGTGCCTGACAACCCTTTTGGTGAAGAAATTCTTCCTAATATCCAATCTAAACCTCCCCCGGCACAACTTGAGGCCATTTTTCTCTTGTCCTATCCCTTGTTACTTGGGAGAAGAGACTGACCCTAACTTCACTACACCCTCCTTCCAGGTAGTTGCAGAGAGCGATCAGGTCTCCCCTCAGCCTCCTCTTCTCCAGACTAAACCCTCCTAGTGCCCTCAGCCGCTCCCCATCAGACTTGTGCTCCAGACCCTTCACCACCTTCGTTGCCCTTCTCTGGACTCGCTCCAGCACCTCAAGGTCTTTCTTGTGGTGAGGGGCCCAAAACTGAACACAGGATTCGAGGTGCGGCCTCTGTTCTTTCCACTTTCCCTTTCCACTAAGGCTGGGACATTGAGAGATCTTCTCTCTTCCTTTCTTTTCCTCAAACAAACTGCTGAGCTGGGTTCCCTCTTCAGCCCGGCCTCACCTCTGCTATCTTTTCATCATAGTCTTGCATGTAGGCATCCACCTCAGCCTTCAGCTCCTCCCGATCCACGACTGAGGCCGCGTAGCTGGCAATCCACTCTGAGACAGAGAGGGCAGAAGTCACGTTAGCCTCTGTTGGAAGCAAGCCCTAGTGTGATGCCTTTGCGCAGCTCTAGAGAGAACTGCCGTGGGGAAGGACACGCTCTGTTACCATTCCTGTTCAGCCTCCCCACTGCCACAGCCCAACCAACTGGCAGCCCAGGCCACAGCCAGTAAGCGATGACAAGAGCTTGCAACTTTCCCAAGCAGGAGCGGGCTAGCCCTAAGCCCAAGAGAGGCAACGTTCAGGGCTGCGTTCCTGTCAAGGGGTCACATCTGTAGTGCTGTCATCTTGACAGATACTTGGTGCCTGTTATTGAGTCTGGATCCCACTTTGAGGGCAAGAAGCAGCCAGTTTCTCTGAATCTATGTGATACTGAAAAGGTATCAGGAAAAATTGCCCTTTCATTGTACCAAGTGACCCCATTCTCCCATAGGGTCACTGGACCAGACTACAATGTCCAGTACAAGACGACTGCTAACCTTGTGAATAATAAAAGCAGGACAACGAAACACTGGACATCTCCCAGCTCAGTACAAAATGGTGAGAATTAATCTGGGACACGCAGGGGAGGATTCAGCAAGGAATGAGTATAGTTTTTCCCCGGCACGAGCTAGCAGGAAGATAGGCAGGGCTGACTTACTGCTAATGCCGGTTTTCACCGGGTGACTCTCTGTTGATATCAGCAAGGGACCTTCCTGTGACAGGGCCTTGGCTGCCTGGACACCAGCTGGTTTCCTGAACACCACGTATGCTACTTGAAATCCCTGAAAGAAAGACACCAAGGCCAGTCAGATACATCGGGGAAACTGGTGACGCAGCAAGGAGCTGCAATACAAATAAAATAAAAATCAAACCACAAGCTGCAGTGGGTTAGCAAAATAAAGATAACGTAAACTTAAATAAGTAATCACGCCACCCAATGCCCCCCTAAAATGGTTTCCCATATCTCACGTTCCAAATAGTACCATTCAGTGCTTGCAATCATCTTTCCCCATTCTCACCACTAAAGCATCAGCATTTCCCCTCCCCACCAAGCTTTACCGTTACAGTTTTGCGGTCGAAAAATTTGGAGGTCAGCGTTTCTTTTTTCTCTCCCTGCCCCGGCTTGTCACCCATGTCCACAGACGGGACATGCCCGCAGCGGCCGAAGAGCCTAGACAGAGCGCCCTCGATGCGGAGAACAGAGAGAACCAGCGGTACAGAGAAGCAGGAGCGATTCCTCTGCCCGCCCTCTCACGCCGGCACGGCCCCCGCCCCTCTCGGCCCACCGGGCTCCTTCGCCCACGGCCCCGCGCTCCTGAGGCGATGCCCTCGGTCTCCAACCCCTC